TGAAGCACTTCGTGCTAACTTTTTAGCTAAACCTAAGTCAGATGGCGTTTCTCTTTTAGTTAGTTAATTCCAAATTGGAGTCATCCAATCCGTTGCAGCATCTGGGTGTAGCTCTTCATCATCAATCATATGCTCCGCGCGATGAGAAGGACGAGCCCTTCATTTAGTGATAGACATCACTATACTTGGGTTAGGTACACTTTGTTGAATGACAGACCTATTATTCCCAGGGCCTTTTGTACTGGCAAGTTTAGATAAAATATCTGCCCTAGCATTCTTTTCACGTAGAATATCTTCAATCTTAAAATTTTCAAAATCAACTAGTAACAAACGTACCTTATCCAAATATTTTGCCATCAGGACCTCCTTTGTTGGTAAGTTCCTTGCACTTGCGCCACTACCAATTGTGAATCACTCTTTAAGATTACTATTGTTGCACCCAGGTCTTTTTCCATTGCCAATCCTGCTAAGACTGCCTCATATTCAGCTTGATTATTTGAAGCCTTGAAACCAAATTGGATAGAGTGTTCAACGGTGATGCCTTGAGGACTTTAAACAATAACTCCAGATCCACTTTCTTTAAGATTAGAAGATCCATCTACAAAGATTATCCAGTCGCATACTGATTGAGAACCTTCTGAGTGTGTCATTTCAACAAGGAAGTCAACTAACACTTGTGCCTTAATTGCCTAGCGCGGTTCATAAATGATGTCATACTCTGATAATTCAATAGACCAAGTGATCATTCGTCCTGCCAGATCAGGTTGACGTAAGATCTGTTTAAGAGGTTGGTTAGCTCTGACTTTGATTGAGTGTCCTTGGAAATAATGACGCAATATGCGAGATGTTATAATGAGTGCAAATGCTACTTTCTCAATCTGTTGGTAGCACAATTCTGGTCCTTGAAGGGCTTTACTGACGAAATAAATTGGTTGTTGACCATTTATGTCTTCTGGTAACAATATCCAGCTGATGGCCTTATTGCTAACAGAAAGATAAACACTAATGTTTCATCAAGTTGTGGTCTTACCAACACCGGAGGGTTAGCTAAGTGTTTCTTTATCGCAACAAACCCGCTTCGCATTCTGGAGTCCAATCGAAAACAGTTTGCTTGCGCAATAATTTGAACATGGGTAACGATTTTTGTGCTGAAGCAGACAGAAACCGAGTCAAAGATGTTATTTGTCCAGTCAATTGTTGTAACTCGTTGATATTCTGAGGACTAGTCATGTCTAGAACTGCTCTACATTTGTCAGAATTTTCCTCTATTCCTCGATGTGTCAACATGAATCCCAAGAATTTTCCAACGGGGACTCCAAACGTGCATTTTGCTGGATTAAGTCGTAGCTTATACTTGTGCAATTGTTGAAATACCTGCTCTAAGTCTTATGGATGTTGTGAGACTGTTGTAGTCTTGACAATCATATTATCAATATAAACTTCCAGCATTTGACCGATTTGTTGACTGAAGACTTTATTCATCATACGCTGATAGGTTGCGCTTGCATTTTTAAGACCAAAGGGCATCATGTTGTAACAGTATGATTGTCACTTTTTTAAGACTTTGTTGTTTTTCAGGAGAGATCTTACGCTTCTTCTGCACGATTGATTTTGCTTGTGGATCAACAGTGAGGTGGTGACAAATGACATCTGGATCTATCCCTAGGATATCGGTTGTTGTCCAAGCAAAAAGATCTTTGTTTTTCAACAATATTGCTATCCATGAATTTTTGTCAGTCCCCTGCAAATGTGGATCAGTCTTGGTAACATTCTCAGGCAGTGGGCCGAGTTGAAGATCTTCTGATTCGCCATCAGGTTGTGGCCGCACATCGTGCAAATCCTCGAGCATATCTAAATCAGTTATATTGATAGACGTTTTTCCTTTAACATCATGACGAATGGCAGATTTATTGTTCACATTTAAGTTGGTGTTATAAAATTTACGCGCTACCTTTTGGTCACCTCTAATGGAAATAATAGTGCCAGAAGGATCTCTGAACTTCATTAAAAGATGTGGCATTGATATGATTGCGCCCAAAGCGCCAATGGTTCGGCGTCCCAGAATTGCATTATACGTTGAAGCGCAGTCAATGACATAAAAACATACCTTAGTAGTACGTCCAAGAGGCATAATCCCAAAAGTTACCAATATTTCAATGGTACCTTTAGGTTGTACACATTTGCCATAAAAACCAAGCAAGTCTATACATCCTGGGATTAAATGTTTTTCTAGGATATTCATTGCGCGAAAGGCATCCTAAAAAATTATATCAGCAGAACTACCACTATCTATCAAAAGGTGTTTTACCTGAAGATTTGTCATGCAAGATGAAATTACTAGTGGATCATCATGGCCAGGAATGATATCGTGGTAGTCTTCTTCGACGAAATTAATTGATTGAAAATTAAGACGAGACATATAAGGATGCCCATGATTATTAACTGTCACGACAACTTTTAGATGTCGCTTGCGTTGCGAGCTAGTATCTCCTCCTCCAACTATTCCTCCAGCGATGGTGGCTAACACTCCAGCGGCATTATTGGGCAGTTGTGGGGATCTCTATAGTGCCGCCTGTTGTTCATGATGTCTATCTCTTGTTGATACTCCCTCCTGTCTTCCAGTGCGCTCGTAATGCACATTCCTGTCATTGTTATTTCTAGAATAATTATAACCGCCTCTCAGATGGATCCTTTGACTGCCATGATTCCTATCATCACCAGGGCTTCTATCCCACCTCCTTCCAGACTTATAATCTTTGCAAGTAGAAATAAATTCTTTAATTTTTCCATCTCTGATAAGTATTTCAATAGTATTTTTTAAATCGAAGAACTCATCTGTAGTGTGACCAGTATCATCATGAAACTCGCAAAACTTAGTTTCATCGTGTCATCCGTTCTTTTTTAGTGGTGGGGGTTTTTAAACACGAACATAACCGGCTTGAAATACTTTTTTAAGAATTCTCCTGCGCAACGTATCTAAAGGAGTGTAATTTTCAAACTTTTCCCACTTTCTCTTTTTGCGAAACCGTCGTCGAAAATCTTTGTGAAAATCCTTTTCAAAATTATAACCTTCTGGTTTTATTCCAGGAATGTCCTGAGAACGCTTATAATCTTCCAAATTTATAAATTTTTCATATCGTGCTCTGAGGTCCTCTAGACTGCATGGACGATGTTTGGCCAACAACATAGAGAACGGACCCTCCAACAATCCTTCGATGATGAGATACAAAGTAACTTGAGGGTCTAAATCCTTCACCAAGAGTGTTTCATCAAAAAACTTGTTGAGGTAATCGCGTAAAGTTTCGCGCGTTCCTTGCCTGACTGGTTTTAAGGGATGAGTGGATTTGTACTGCGCTTTACTAGTGGCAAACCGTATAAGGAATTGGCTGGTGAGATCCTCCCAACTTTGAATTGAATTAGTCGGCAAAGCCGAATACCATCTGAGTGTAATTTCTTTTAAAGTCGTTGGGAATAGTCTGCATGCTACTGGGTCGGCAACATCTTGAGTCATCTTGTTGGTTTGGAATTATTCCAAATGTTCTTGTGGGTTTCCTTTTCCATTATACCTTTCTGTTGTAATTTTCACGTCTCTGCGAATTAGAATGTTCATGACATGGGAGGTAAAAGGATGCAGAACTCGAAAAACTGTTTTAGAGTTTCCCTGAGAATTCTCAAGTATTTCTTTTTCTTCTTCACCTTTTTTACTTTGACCTGAGGGTCCAGGATCTTTCTTTGAGTATTCATGCCCTGCCTCACTTTCACCAGAGTTTTCAAGATCTTTATTAGTTTCTTTTTCCAGCTTTTTTTCTTTTTCTTTGGCCTTTTGTAATTTTTTCAATTGAGTCAAGTCTCGATTCTGCTGGGCAGTTTTGCTGGGTGATGAGTTTGAGCAAGTGTTGGGTGGTAGGTGGATTTTCTTTGTGTGCAGAAATTGGTGCAACAGAGGAAGTAGATTTTTCCCGCGAGGCTGGTGTTTCTTTATGCTTTCCCTTGGAGCCGTTCTGGGATTTCTTTCTTGTATCAACCATGTTTTTAAGATTTGTGAAAGAGTGGGTTTTAACGATTGCTAATCCCCACAGACGACGCCAACGATCGGTCTAGTTCAATATGGGCTGGCCAATATGGACTAGGCCAAATCATACACGGTTGAAGAATGCAGAATTTGGTTGAGGTTTAATGCTTCGTGGGCTGATGATGATTGTTATGTGATGAATTAGCATTGAGCTTTCTTGGCACGATGGTTCTAGCTGAGGGGTACCTGCAATGACACTCCGATGCTTAAGTCAGTATAAATGCTAGGTTTATGTTGTATTCTTACTGGAATTAGATTGTTATACCTGGGTGTGTACCCCTTGCTTATATAACAAGTCTTTATGCCGCATTTGGTAGGCGGTATGCCTTCTGATTGGCTGTTCCTGGGCTACAGACTTATCTGTCTCAGCTGGTGCCTTTCTGGCTATACTTCTATAAAATGGACTACCTTCTTAGAGTAGTGGCAAGCTAGAGCTGTCTTTCTTGTGTTGGCTTATAGCGTGGTGGATCTTGGTTCTATAGGGTTCTTCCTTAGTGCTTAAGTTTATTTAAGGCGGTTTAGGCGCGATGAGGCCATTGTACCATTAGGTCCTTATGCACGATGGAGACATTGCGCGTTTCTTCGGGCCTGTATGTTTCCGGGCTTTAACCCTTTATGGGCCTTATGCAGATCAGTTTTGTTGAAAGATAAAAAATATATCTTAATCTTTCATGTTTAGATGGAATATCAAATAAGTAACATTTCAAAAATATTTTGACAACTTCTGTAAAAAGGAATTTTTGAGAAGCATAAATATTTACTTTTTAGTAACTCATTCAAACAAAAGTATTTTTTTTTTATCAAAATAATTGCATCCAAACGAGACTTGTGTAGTAGATGGATTAATAAATTTCTTTTAGTGGCAAATCCTTGGTAATTATGCGAATTAAATTGGCTGTCATTGTTAACTAAGTTTTTAACTATGCAGCTGAGAGATCAGGTAGGGGCAGTGTAACTGATGCAATTACTACCCCTGTAGTGAATGCTTCTGCCTACTTCTTCAAAAAGACCTCTGATCTGATTGATTACAAGGTACTCTTCTCTTGGAGCATTTTATTAAAATTTATTCATCTAATGCATGAAATTCAGAAATTGTCATGAGAAGGAATAAGTGGGAAAAATGTGAAAATTGCTAAAAGACACAAATATGACATGGGCCTATAGTTGTTGCTAGGGTCAATACAAATAATGCATTGTTTCTTTAATCATCTTTATTTTTTTTTGTTTTTTTTCAAGGAGAAACGCCAATTTAGTTTTGAATATGGGAGATATGGAAACCCAACGACAGTGGTTTTAGAAGAGAAGATGAGGTTTGTGTTTGATTTCATTCTCTTTACATTCTAAAATGTTCTTCTATATACGTTTCATTAAATGTGTAGCACATAAGTTATAGTGTTTAAATTACAATTCAAGTGCTAGACAGTGATATAATTCACATAGCTGATGTGGTGTACATATTCAATGGGACAGAACAAGAGAAAGAGATTTTTATTGCTGACACTTAAGAATTTCCCTACATGATTGTTATGATCATGGATACTTAAAGAGTCTTTTCTGAAGCAGTGTACTAGAGGGTGCTGAATCAACTTTGTTCCTGGCATCTGGGATGTGTACTAGCACGGTTATGTTGATGGCACTGGTTCCAGCTGGTGGACATATTGTGACCACCACAGATTGCTATAGGAGAACCAGAATATTCATTGGGAACGTGCTTCCAAAGATGGGAATCACGGTATATATGATTTACTTTGGGTTTTTATAGTATTTTGTTTTATCTGAAACTGCTACTTTTGTTGTTATGTTTCTTCAGGTGACTAGGATTTCGTGAACTTACTTAAAGAGTGTATTTAAATTTAGATTAGCTTGTTTTAATTTTTTTAAGAGCGGCTAATGGTTATAAACTCATTAAAATTTTCACTTTGCTGAATAGGCCACTATAATTGATCCTGCTGATGTTGGTGCCTTGGAACGTGCATTGGAACAGAACAATGTCAGTGGTGGAGAGAGTAATTGGTTTCTTTTTGTGAAGTTTCTCTTTTGATTTCTTTGGAAATAATGAATAGTATTGAGTTCATATGATATGGTATATTATATACATGTGTGCAGGTTTCATTATTCTTCACTGAGACTCCTACCAATCCATTTCAAAGATGTGTTGACATTAAACTTGTTTCAGAGCTTTGTCACAAAAAAGGGGCTTTGGTGTGCATTGATGGTACATTTGCCACACCTATAAACCAAAAGGCCCTTGCCCTTGGAGCTGATCTTGTTGTGAACTCTGCAACAAAATACATTGCTGGACATCATGATGTAAGTTTGTGTGACCAATGGTGGACTTGTGTTATGAAAAAAATAATGTTTAGAAACATTAAAATGTTTGGCAATTGAAGTTGGTTTTGTATTGGATTGTTGGATTGTATATATTTTTTCACTTGTTAAATCAAAATTCATGAAAAGAATCACTTGTTAAGCACTTGTTTGCCGAAATATTAATCTACATTTCAATCATTGATAGTTAAACTTTAAGGAACCATTTTTTTTTTTACCTATGTTTCAGGTCCTTGCTGGTTGCATAAGTGGTTCAGAGAAGTTGATATCACAAGTGCGTAGTTTGCATTTCATTTTGGGTGGTACACTTAGCCCGGTGAGTCATTTCTACAGAGCTATGCCCTGCCTTTGTTGATATATGTAAGCTAAGTCTTTCTATGGAAGGATATACATAAATTGATTTGTTATGCCGCAATAATAACAGAATTCAGCATACCTAGTCCTTAGAGGAATGAAAACGCTGCATCTTCGTGTACGGCAAGAGAATTCATCAGCAATGAAAGCAGCCAAAATTTTGGAGGCACATCCTAAGGTACCAAGGGAATTGATACATACGATGTCTTGTCTCATCCCCTTACTTGTTTGAAACATTTTGAATGGTATTGTATATATAAGTGGTAAAGCTATTCCTGTGTGATTGAAAGGTCACATGTTCAAATGTGAAAAATATTGTATTTGCAATTATACAAGGATAAGACTGCGTATAAGAATTGCTCTCATCCCAGCCTTGTTAGTTGGAATGTAATGGGGAGTTTTCTTTTTATTTTATTGTACATATAAGTGGCATGATGGATAAATGATAGAAGTAACAATATGCTTGCGTGATGGAAACTGGCCTATTCTGAAATTTTGATGTTTCGAGCACTTAATTTTAAATGTAAATTCCTTCTTTGTCTGTTGTGAGCTTGTATATTTGTTTATTGAGGTAGGATATTCTTACTACTAATTTTTTCTATTACTACTTCACTATCACTCTAATTATCATTGAATTCAAAAATAGTTTTTCTTTTCTCTCTCGTCGTTCAACTTTTCCTTTAATCCAATGGTGATTAAAGTGGTAGTAGAAAAAATTGGTAATAAAAATATCCTATCTCATTTATTTATACTATTGTTGTTGTTACTTTTTTTTCTTTTTCTTGCGAGGGTTTTAAAATGAAAATGTGAGGCTCAACATCTCATGTAAATTGGTTTTACTTACATGGTGTTATTGGCAGGTGAAGAGCGTCTACTATCCAGGTTTGCCAAGTCATCCTGAGCATGAGCTTGCCAAGAGACAGATGACTGGTTTTGGTGGTGTTGTCTGTTTTGAAGTATGATTTGCTATTCCATTGTGGTTGCTACCAGTTGTCATTTTCATTCTAAGTATGTTGTTGATCTTATTATTTTTGCCAATTCTGATAGTTCTGAATATTGATAATCATGCAGATTGATGGAGATATAATGAAAACTATAGAATTTGTTGATTCGTTGAAAATCCCATATATTGCTCCATCCTTTGGTGGCTGTGAGAGCGTTGTGAATCAGCCTGCTATCATGTCTTATTGGTACTTGCTCAAATTCCTTGTCATATTTATGCATGATTTAATATTAAAAAGACTAAGTGAAGACCGTATAAATGAAATGACTTATTAATCTAAAGCTTTAAAGTTTTGAGTTGAGACGCGACGTCGAAATAACTTATGTGGTGGATTATATTAATATTTATGTATTTTGCAACAGGGATCTTCCTCGGTCAGAAAGAGCAAAGTATAAAATTTATGACAACTTGGTTCGCTTCTGCTTTGGAGTTGAAGACTATGAAGATTTGGAGGAAGATATCCTGCAGGCTCTGGAAGCTATATAGGCCGTAATAACCTACCTTTGTTTTATTGTTTGTTAAGTCCTTTTTCTTGTTATTGCGTCCGGTGTAATCAATTGAATTTTGATCATTAAATGTTCTATTGGGGCTTTAAGTTATGATGAATTGCTGAAACCTCCATTTGATGTTTGATCATAAATAAAGGGACGCTGTTGATTAAGTCAATTGTTAATGGGAGTTGATTACATACTTTTCGTGTTTAGATTTTCGTCAAAGAATCTTGTTTAGACCTCAAAGTTTTTCTTGGTCTTCAAAAGAAATTTTGCCATAAAATCCAAATTGTTTGGCATGCCTTTCCAGAATTCACAAAAAGGCACTAAAGCATTTTATGATAAAACATTCTAAATTTAATCCAGTAAGCTGCAAATTGAACTATTAGTATTAAAAGAAGAAAAAAAATTATATTGAGTCAAATTGAAATGAGTAAGCCAGCTAGGGTGCTAAATAAGTCAGGGGCCTTTGCCTCAGCTCATGAAGGCCTGAACTTACATGTCTAAAATTAATTGGTGGACCCAGATTTGGACTTGTATAAAAGTTCGTTCAATAAAAAGGCCTCAAGCTCCAATCCAAAAGTTCGGCCTTAGATCCTCTCAAGCTTGCCTAATATATTATTATTTTTAATTATTTTTTTTAATTTTTGTGATAGCTCTCAATCTTCTCAATTCATTTCATCTTATTTTATTAATTAAACAGACTTTTTAAATGATTTTATATTATATTATGCTATTTGGATATACATTAAATTTAAGAATATTTATGGAATTACTAGTGCTGTTGATTTTGTTTGGATAAATTTTTGTTGTCTTATTTTTTGTAAACAGGCTAACAGGCTAAACAAAGTTTTTACTTTTTGTAAATGAGTAAGGCCACAGACTGATATTATATTCGTAACAGGTAACAGGCTAAGGTCAGTCTGACACATTTGAACACAGGCTCAGCCCGTTAAAACTAAAGTTCGGCTCGGCTCGTTAACACCCCTAAAGCCAGGTGATGAATAATATTTCATGATTAAACTCTTAACTCAATGCCGAAGCACATATACTTTAATTTTTCGAAAAAGAGGACCACACCCCAACAGTTATATTCTATCCACAACTTCTGTATACAAAGGCTCTAATACTAATCATTGACAACAAGATCCAACCATTGCAAGCAATAATTAAAAAAGTTTTATAATATTGTTGTGGACTATTTCTTAACGGGTCACATTCATGTAGCTCATGTAACTAGTGCATGAGGCTCATTAATTTAGATCATTCTGGAATGAGTGTGTTCTGGATGGCCCGAGTACTGGGGCGGCCCAACTACACAGGCCCAACCCTCAGCTGGCCCAATCACTCAAGCCCAGCCTCAGTCTTGCCCCACGTCAGCCCTTAGGGCTGACCTGGACCCCCTCAACCCCCAACGTAGCAGCAGGCCCAAGGCATACACCAAAATGTCCCATCTTGGAACGCTAACCGTTGAAGGCGACTACGACAGAAACCACAAAGGGAAACTCCCCCTTTGCCCGGCGCTGACACCGCCAGAGTGCAGAGGGCGCAACACTGCCACAATGACAGCGCCAACACGCCTAACACTGCACCACGGGAGTAAATCCCAAGGAGAGTTGACCTCTCCCTCACCAAGCCGCTCCATTTCCCTTATAAATAGCCCTCCTGGGCACACCTTAGAGGTATCTTTTATGTATTGTTGTTATGCCCCTTTACTTCCAAGTCATACTCTTGTTATTAATCTGCCATTGCTATTAGCTTGCTTGCCTCTTGGAACTATACCTACTAGTCTGGTCATTACCTCGCCTAGTGGTATAATCCATATAGTAACATTACCCTATAGGGTACATAGTGGGCTCACAGAACCTAACGATACATTGGCGCCGTCTGTGGGAAACTATAAACTTCTATTCCCATTCTCCTACCAAAGATCCACAAGACGTGTTTTACGTTTTGGTAACAAACATGGTTGTCACAACCAGAAGAGCAGAACAAACCAGGGCTGTTACACCTGACGGTCATGTACAAACAATACATTCAAACTCCCCGCCATCGATGCATTCAGCCCCAGCCGAGAGACCCCCCGGCGAGATGCTCCAGCCAGTACTACAATCTGTCGGTCCACAAATGCAAGCAGTCGAACCCAGGATAGCACAGTTGAACTATCACGCACCTATGCGTGAAATGCAAGGAGAAAACTTGATACAAGACCAACCCCCGCCACCAGGAGTTCGTTTTGGAATGCCTCTTCACACTTTTGCCCCACCAGTCATTCCCGTCCCATGAGCCCATCGTCCACTACCAGCCTAAAGTCTACCAGTAGCCATGCACAACGATTACCGAGCACCGATGGTCACCCCGTTCCCTATGGGACCATACGCCTATTTCCCTCAGCTTTACCCAACTGGTTTTCCTTTCCAAGGTTATGCTGCCCAACCCCAAAATCCGGCTGTTCCACTACACCAAGTGTCCTATCAAAACCAGGGTCAGCAACCATATGCCGCCCAACAACCTTTCAATCATGCCCCAGCCCTCTCCTACTTCGTTGAAGCTCCTCAACCGTAATCGGACCAGCCCCCCTGAAACAACAACCTACGAGTCACGCCAGCTCATACGTAAGGGCGCAACAAACCCCTGACTGATATCCTCCGATTAACTCCCATACCCCTTGGTTTCAAAGGACCCTCCAATATCACCACATATGTCGAAGACGCCGATCCTTTTGAATGGATCCAGAAGTTTGAGGCGGCCATGACTCTCCATGGTGAAACCGACCTCCTCATGTGCAGGACCTTCCCCACGCTACTTGGGGGACGAGCCTTAACATGGTACACCACTCTACCGACTGGTAGTATCGCTTCATGGGATGAGTTGGCGAGCAAGTTTCAGTCTCACTTTGCAACCAGTCACCCTGTGCCGAAATCCGTCCACTCTCTAGAAAAAGTACGCCAACAGCAAGGCGAGTCCCTCAGGTCCTTTTTAGACCGCTTTGATAAGGAGGCCCTACAAGTGCAAGGCCTGAACCCAAAAGTAAAGGTACATATACTTCTTTCGGGTTTGCGGCAAGGTGCGTTCGCGTACGAGCTTGCCCGCCACGAGATCACTGACCTGGAAGAAGTCAAGAGGGTGGCCCAGGAGTACATGCGAATCTAAGAGTACAAAGGAAGTCGAGTCGATGACGCCCACGGTCAAGAAAAGGCACTCAGTAAACAAAAGAACCAAATGGAAGAAAGTAAGAAAGGAAACAAACCAGCCAAATATTCAAACCGCCCTCCCGGGCGTGATACATCAGGTCGTCAGACACACGCCGTCCTGCAAACGGAGTATAAGGAAGAATCCAAGAACACCCAACAGTCTCAGAACCCGCCTAAAGAAAACATCATGTACTGCAAGTTCCATCGCAGCAACGGTCATAACACTGAGCAGTGCAGGCACCTCAAAGACGAAATCGATGAACTCATCAAAAGCGGAGTATATAGGCGAGGAGGAGACGGCTCACGCCCTTCAGGAGCAGGGAGGCGATATCGAGAGCGCAGCAAATCGCCTGAAATAAGAAGAACGTGTCAATCTGGATCCAGACCCTCCTACAATCGTGACAGGAGAGAAGATTCCCCCAGGAATCACAGAGCGCAAGCAAGTCCAAACCGCAGAGCAAGGCGTGAAGAAATAGACGAAGATTCAGCCGCGGTGAAGCACGGAGTGATCAACATGATTTCAGGCGGGCTGAGCGGAGGAGGAGAGATTGCGAACGCCAGAAAGAAACACTTGAAGCAGTGTCTGGCGGTCGCTGGCAAAGTGATCAGCAAAGCAAGGCACAGTCCTAGTCCAACAAGGCCTCAAATTGTTTGGGACGCCAGCGATTTAGGCGATGTCCTCCCAGGACATGACGATCCGCTCGTCATTCAAGCTATAATCGCCAACTTCGGCGTTAATCGCGTTTTTGTTGACCACGGTAGCTCAGCCGACATTTTGTTTTTACCATGCTTTAAAGCGTTAGGGTTCACTGTTGATAGTTTAACTCCGGTTACAGGTGAACTCTCAGGTTTCAATGCTACCACAACAAAGCCACTGGGATTGATTACCTTGCAGCTTTCACTTGGAACACCACCCACCTCACAATCCGCAGACATCCAGTTTTTGGTGCTCGACACCCCATCAGCTTACAACGCCATTCTTGGTAGAAGGATGTTTGCTGCCTTCGAGGCCAGCATTTCACACCCCCACTTGGCAATGAAGTTCGTTGCCCGGGACAACAAAGTCGCCACAGTGCAAGGAGACCAGACGATAGCCCGAATGGCGCATGGCGAATGTGCGTTGATTACACCGACCTAAACAAAGTCTGTCCAAAGGATGCTTACCCTTTTCCTAGCATCGATCAGTTGGTTGACAACGCGTCCGGATTCAAAATGCTATCATTCATGGACGCATACTCTGGTTATAATCAGATCCCACTTCTAGAAGAAGACCAAGACAAAACGGCGTTCATCACTCAGAACACCAATTATTGTTATACAATGATGCCTTTCGGTCTAAAAAATGCTGGGGCCACTTACCAAAGGATGATGAATGAAGTATTCAGAGACCTGATTGGCAATTGCATCGAAGTATACATCGATGACATGATCGCTAAATCAAGAACGTCGGAACAACATTTGGTTGATCTACAAGGTGTTTTTGAAAGACTCAGAAAATTCAACATGCGCTTGAATCCAAGCAAATGCGCCTTCGGAGTTCCCGCGGGCAAATTCCTAGGCTTTATGCTCACTGAGAGAGGCATTGGGGTCAATCCTGATAAGTGCAAGGCGGTGATTGAAATGCGAAGCTCGCAAGCAATCAAGGAAGTTCAACAACTCACAGGAAGGTTAGTAGCTCTCACTCGTTTTTTGGCCAATTCGGCTCACAAATCGCTCCCTCTTTTTGGCTTACTCAAAAAAGGAACCGCCTTTCGGTGGTCGGAAGAATGTGAGAACGCCTTCCAGGAATTCAAAAGGGCGCTCACTTGTCCACCAGTGCTCGCCAAACCAGACGATGGAGAAATGCTTTATTTGTATCTTGTCGTAGGTACCGAGGCGATCAGTGCAGCCCTTGTCAAAGAATCAAAGGAAGACAAAAGGCAGTATATTTCATCAGCAAGGTTCTACAAGAAGCAGAGCTTCGATACCAACAGGTGGAAAAAGTAGCTTTAACGCTTATCTTTGCCGCACGGCGTTTAAGACCGTACTTCCAATGCCATCCAATCACCGTCAGGACCAACCAACCAATCCGCCAAGTCCTGCACAAGCCAGACTTGGCGGGAAGAATGATGTCGTGGGCAATCGAGTTGTCCGAGTATCAGATCACCTATGAGCCTAGAACTGCCATCAAAGCTCAAGCACTCACTGACTTCATTGCAGAAATGACGCAACTTTCCCCGCCCAAGAACCAAGCCATGGGAACACCGTTATCAGAAATATGGAAACTATACGTAGATGGCTCATCAAACGCCAAAGGCTCCGGTGCTGGGATGATAATAGAAAATCTGGATGGCGTGGCTATCGAACATTCTTTATCGTTTGAATTCAGCACCACAAATAACCAAGCAGAATATGAGGCCATGATAGCTGGTCTGATCCAAGCAAAGGAAATGGGGGCCAACCGCCTCAAAGTCTTTAGTGACTCCCAGCTGGTGACATTTCAGATCTCCGGCGAGTACCAAGCCAAAAGACCATTGATGTGCAAATACTTGGAAAAAGTCAGAGAGCTAATCGAAAGTTTTGAGAGTGTTGAGGTGGAACATATCCGGCGTACTGAAAATACCCGGGCAGACATTCTGTCCAAACTAGCAAGCACTAAAAGCCCAGGCAACAACCGTTCTATAGTCCAGCAGAGTATGCCAAACCCGTGTGTAGTCATGTGTATCTCAGAGCAAGCCCCTGGAGCCACTGAAGAAACCTGGATCACGCCAATTATCAATTATTTAGCTGAAGGGGCCGTACCTCCCAACCAAAAAGATGCTAGAAAGATAATTCGTAGAAGCGCCCACTTCTGCATAGTACAAGGCGGTTGTACAAGCGAGGACTCTCAACCCCACTCTTGAAATGTTTGAATCCCACTAATGTTCCATACGTTTTAGAAGAAATCCATGAAGGAATCAACGGCCATCACATGGGCGGTCACTCACTAGCAAAGAAGGCGTTGAGAGCTGGATTTTATTGGCCAACTATGGAACGTGACGCCCACGAACACGTCAAAAAATGCGAAAAGTGTCAGAGGTTCGCCGAAATACATAGAGCGCCGCCAAAAGAGTTAACATCAATCACCACACCATGGCCTTTCTACAAGTGGGGCATCGACATTCTGGGTCCTTTCCTTATGGCAGCTGGGCGAATTCAGTGGCTGATGGTCGCTATCGACTACTTTACCAAGTGGGTAGAAGCAGAACCCTTGACGACTATAACCTCTCAAAAAGCAAGACGGTTCTTCTGGAGAAGCATCGTTTACCGTTTCGGCATTCCCGGGGAAGTTATCACGGATAACGGCACTCAATTTACCGATGCCAAGTTCCGCGAGTTAATGAGCAGCCTGCACATACGACACCACTTTGCTGCCGTAGAACACCCACAATCCAACGGTTTGGTTGAATCAGCCAATAAAATGCTGGGGAAAAGAATTAAAAAGAAGCTAGATGCACACAAAGGGGCTTGGATTGACAATCTTGACAACGTCCTGTGGGGGCACAAGACAACCGCCCAGTCATCCACAAAAGAAACTCCGTTTAGGCTGACTTACGGCGCTGAAGCCATGATCCCAGTAGAAATCGGTGAACCCTCATGGCAGCGAGAGCACGTAACCAAGATCGGCAACACCCAGAATTTGAAAGAAGCATTAGACCTGCTGGACGAACTCAGAAGGTCTGCCGCCGAGTCTGATCTCCATTCTAAAGAAAAATCAACTACTTACTACAATAAGAAGGTCATCCCCAGGAGTTTCCAAGAAAAACGCCCGCGAAGGAGCAGACGTTGGAAATAAAAACGCCCGCGAAGGAAAGCTCGCCCCAACATGGGAAGGACCTTACAGGGTAACCAACAAATTAGGTCATGGAGCCTACTACCTAGAAACACTAGAAAGAAAGGCGCTGCCAAGGGCTTGGAACGCCGATAAGCTCAAAATGTATTATAGTTAAGTTATCATGTAACAACCTCTGCACTCTTTTCCTTTCCTAGGCTTTTGTCCCATAGGGTTTTGCTGGGAAAGGTTTTTAACGAGGCAGAGTTTTGAGCTTCAATAAAGATCGCCAATTCAATTTAACACTATCAAATGTGACTACGGGACGGTTCTCACCCCCGCCATAGTTGGTCTGGGATGGTTCTCACCCCCAGCCAACGCCAACCTACTGGACGGTTCTCACCCCCGCCATAGTTGGTGTGGGATGGTTCTCACCCCCAGCCAACGCCAACCTACGGGACGGTTCTCACCCCCGCCATAGTTGGTCTGGGATGGTTCTCACCCCCAGCCAACGCCCAACTACGGGACGGTTCTCACCCCCGCCATAGTTGGTCTGGGACGGTTACGCCTAGCAAGCAAGATGGTTCCCACCATCGCCGCAGTTGGACTGGGATGGTCCT